TGTCCTTAGACCAACACAGCTACAACCTACACCCCTGTAGCATGAATGAAGGAACTCTGAGAGACCATACCTCATAGGAAGGCACACTACTCTCTCTCAAACAAGAAGTCCTAGAGTTTCAATAAAGAAATAGCATTCCATGTAAGTCCTAGAGAGTGGCTGTGTCAGGAAAAACTTTGGGAAAGCGGGATTTAATTTTTTTTAAACTTTAAACTTATAATTTAAAAAAAATTAAAGTTAACCTTTTTTTTAACTAGTTAAAGTTAAACGTTGACACCTGAAAAATGTAACTAGTTACAGTTAAAAGTTAGCCATTTCTTTAACTTTTAACTAGTTAATTAACTAGTTAATTCTCATGACTCCATACGCTGTAGATGGCAGGGTGTGGGGGGCACGAAGAATTAAGAGGGGGTAGAAAATTAAGAGATTATTGGCCTCCCCCATTTTAAAATAATAATTGGTCTGAGCAGACCCATCCCAACCTGAACTGCATGCTGTGAGGGAGGTGGGAGGAGTGAAGGAGGGTAAAGAACAACACATGGCGGCACCTACTTGCTAAAGGCCAGAACACAGTTTCCCCTCATGGTGAAGTGGATTAATTAGAAGTCTTTGGAGTCTCTGGCTGTTTGCACACACAAATCCAGTTGGAGCAGCATAACTGGAGAGCACCGCAAATTAACACATCTCCGAGTAGTGTTAGTTTAAGGTGCTAAATGGACTTTAGGGCAGGGGGAAATCCCAAGTTGTGCAAACACAAATGTAGTTGCGTCTACATAAATGGGAAATATCATTTTGTCTACACACACCCTGAGAAACTGGGCAGCAGAAGCATAAGTGGTTGAATTTGGACCCTGGGCAACAGGGGCACCAGAACACAGGCAGGGAGGCAGATCTGTATGGCAAGTGATGATAAAAAGCAATTAATTTGGCAGTGGCTGCAGGGCCAGGAAAGGGTTAACCTGGTCCTTAGCAGTGATGCTTCCTCTCGCGGCAGCAGCAGCATTTACCTTGGGGAGGGAGGCAGAGGCTGATGAGAGGACTCTTGCTCCCACTTGTTGAGCCTCCCTGCCTCCATTCTAGCACTTAATTTACTGGGCACCTGGGGCTCAAGTCTTAGTTATGCTAGTGCTGTAAATAGACTAGTATGTAGATATGAGTCAGCCCAAACCAGTTTCTAAGATGTGCTTCCATCCCCAAGCATGTCTCATTAATTATTGTCTGGCTAGGAAATGGGAAAAAAATAGAAGAAACTCAGTGTGCAGCAGCGTCTGAGAAAAAAATCCCACTTGCTAATATTGGAGAGAAAATGAAAACAAGAATCAGGAAAATATTTCAAATTAAACAAAGAGAGGAAGTTTGTAATGTCAAAGTGCCCCAATGATCCTATCTGCCAACGCAAACATTTTTAATGTGCTTATCATAAAACAAAGGGATCCCTAAAGCTATAGTTTGCTTGTGTCTATTGGTTGCTCTCTCTTTATGTATTCAGGATGCTGGAGCCAACATGCAAGTAGCTATCCTTTTTTAGGGAAGTAGTTTTCTCTAACATTCATGTTATACTTCTCCATATTTAACCTACATTTTTTTTTGGTAAAAAAAAATCCAAGTGTCCTAGTCCATTATCCACAACCCAGTTATACAACTAAAAAAGAAAAAGAGATTCAAGATTCATTTCCAGTATGTCTAGGCATATCTGGACACACTCATTACAGTGTAATTATTATCCCAGTGAAATTAGTAGCAACCAAGATTCCCATGGATTTAAATACAGCCAGGAGAATAGCTGTACTGTGGAACAAACCCTAGCCCCAGGAAACACAGCATAGTGTACTTTATTTATTTATTAAATGTTTATGTTACTCTTCCCCAAAAGGGGCTCAGGGCAGCTTACAGTAGAAGAAAAAAGTAGTACAGAAACAGAATAAAATATTAAAATAAGAACAAACAAATTTCCCCTAATTTTTGTTCTTGATTTTTTTGGGGAAGGGGTAGGAGAGGAGGGAAATCTACCCTACCCACTCTTGTTCCTCAGCTTCTAACCAAGAAAAATACACCCCCCACCCCCAAGGGGGAGTCTATGACAGTCACTGAAACCCATTAGTAAGCCTTGATTCTACAAAGGGACACACTGCTCAAAGACCAACAACCCAGAAATGCCTAAGTACCCTTCAGTAACACACACTCCAGGGCCACCTGTTATTCCTTTTAAAGTCACAGGCTGACTGGGACTTTTTCTTTCCAGCCTGACTGGCCATGTGGTTTGTCTGCTTAGCTTCCCAGCCCTTTCCCTGCTTCATATTCAGTCCGTACAAGCAGGCGGACAGAAAAGTTGTTAGCAGCCCCTGCCACACATACATTTGCTTCAGTACATGTAGGGTCTGGCAGCAGCATGATTAAAGCACAAACCTAATGATTTTGCTTTCCAGCAATGGATCATTACAAATAGTAGGCTGTGCAAAACCAAGCCAGCGCTCAGTAACATCTGGACAGAGGAGGGAGAGGGATGAGCCTGGCCTTTTCTCCTCCTTTTGGTCTCCGGTTGACACACCATCCCCAATCCATGTGCTAATAGTTTTAGTTTCTTAACTATGACTTAGACTGATAACCTATGAATGTAAAACAATGATAGTTTTCTCTTTATCCCTGTATGCTTTAGATACAAGGAAGATTTTTCCCAGAGGTCGAAATTGCAGGAGCAGGTATTGCAACTCCAACAACACCTGCAGAATGAAAGAGAAAATTGTTTACAGGTGAGGACATGTCATAAGTGCCTCAAACTGGGCTTTTGAAGGATCTTCAGTGTCTCCCAATAGTGCTGCTGTAACGCCTGCAGAACAGTTTCCTTTAGCAATAGATTAACATGGGCTGTTCTTTAATAGAGTGAACATGAGACACTGGTATCTGTAAATGTTTAAAAGCCCAGATCTTCTTAATTCTAGAGGTTAAAGAGAGTTTGCCATTACATAGATTCTTCAGCCAGCTTTTTTGATTTCCCTACCACATAGGCCAGCGGGATCTCTTAACTACTAAGGGCCCCAGCAAAAAAGATTTTATTATTTTTATTACCTCCTCTCCTGCCCAAAAAATAGCATCTGTTCTCTATACTAGCTCCATCTATACACATACTCTACTCCCACTGTGCTTTGGGCAGAGTGATCTGTTGCTGTAAATCTAACCTACCTTCTGCCTGTTGGTGAGTGTCAGCAATCCAGACTGCTATTCCTGGCACAATTCCAGCTTTCCTGAGCCCAACTGTTTGCTTCCTTGCTGTGTTTGTGGTTATTTGTGCTAGAGAAAAGTTAGTTCTAATATACCACTCTGGGTGAAAAGTGACTAGAGACTTATTTGCTGATTAGTACGTTGCTTACATTTATTCAGATGACCAGGTAAAATTAGAAGAGAGGGAGTTCTGAACAAACCAAAGCAAGATGCTTCCCTCTCTTAAATCAGCTGCAGTGCATAAAGGGAGCATTGAAATCTTCGTTATGCTGCATTAACTTTCCTCTAAATGCTGCAGCATGTTGACTTAAATAGTCTTAAGAATCTGTTTTCCATTTGAACTAGTTTGTCTGTGGCCAGCAATTGGTTTAGCTGTATGGGTGTTGACCCCTCAGGGTAACTGAAAGCAAGGTAAATTTGCAGTGAGTGAACTTGAACAGGTGTAAACTTTGATTAGCTCAATTGGAACCAGTGCATGTCCTTGAATACACTTAGGACTCAGATACACTGGTTGCTAAGGCAGGAATTGAGGCTATTTCTGAGCATAGTGATGAGGCATTAGGCTACTCAAATGTGTAGCTTGTGTTGCAATGCAGGCAGGAAAGCCAGTGCATTTCTTCAGAGATTACAGTCACTTTAGTTTTAAGGGTACTATGAAACTTACTTCATTAATGTTTACAGAGTACCTTAAGTTTGGGCAAGGAAAGCATTTGAGAGGTGCAAGATATTACTAACAGCCTTGTGCTGTTGGGTCTCAAGGTTGGATTATTATCTGTATTTCATCCTTATAAACTGACTCTGAGGGCCTTGTTGCATGTAATATTTAGGCAGCTCCTGGAGCTCTTAATCCCTGGATTGTCCTCACTACAATACCTTTTAAATGGCTTAAAGCACTTTTTTTATGCAGCTCAAAGTTACTCCACCCTAGGGCAGGATTACCTGTGATCCATACAATCCAGGGTCCATTAACATGTGGCCAGTCCCCACAGATGTTGAAGTCTTCTATTACCCCAGGATGTAATCAATGGTCCTTCCTACATCCCTGTATTCTATATGAACACTGCCCCCCCCCCCCAATCAGCTCTCTGCTGCTTGGGTGCTGTATGGCAAGGCTGATCCCTCTTTCTTTCTCTTCCCCCACCACCACATTCATCCCTGCGGGGCCCTCAGCACGAGCCGAATGGTGACTGCAGCACCTCACATTTTGCCTGCCAGACTTCCCATGGCCCTGCAATCCCCAGCTCCCATAAAAATTCTCATTTGTTCAATGTGCTCCATGCCCCTTCTTCTCTCTCCCTTTCTTCAGTACTGACCAGCCTTTGCCTAACTGGAGACTTTGAGCAGCTCAGCCAAGAGGTTTTAATGAGAGCTTATCTAAACCACATATGCATATATGCACCCAGTGACTACCAATCCAAACTCTCCCCACCCTTTCTGAGCCCGTTTGCCCCTCTCATTCTGCTAAGTGCCACCTGCTCTGATCAGGGACAGGGTAGGGGGCTACTTCTGCTCAAGTTTCCCTTCTCAGCTGGTGGCCTTGGCAAGCACCAGGAATGCCCAGCCTGGCCAAAGCAGGTAGAACTGTGGATTTGTTACAGTGAGCCAGGCTCAGAAAAGCCCCCAATGCCCCCCAAACTGAGATTTGCTAAATGGAGGATAATTCACCTCCTTTTCTTTTCTCATCCCTGGAGATGTGTGTGTGTGTGTGTGTGTGTGTGAGAGAGAGAGAGAGAAAGAAAAGGGGGTCAGATTCATGGCAGCTGATAGAAGCAAGATAGCCTTGAAACTCTCAGCTGACAACTCCTAGTCCTGCCCTACAACCTAGCTGGGCTTCCAGCACCCTATGCACCATCCCCGCTGCCTTCTTCAGCTGCCAGCTCACCCAGCTGCCCTCCTTTCATTTCCCTACACTGCCCCAGGGGCAAGCCAGCCCATTCCCAGATGGCCTCAGGACTCCTGGTGGTCTTCTGCCCCTTCTGCAGCAGCGGGAGACCCTGGTGCACATAACCCTTGAGTGTGCCAGGCTGCAGCCCTTCTACCTCCACCTCCAGAACCTCCTGCTGAGGTTCTGGTTGAATTCCACTCCCCACCTTTTTGTTTTTGGTCACCCCATCCATGGCCCCACAAAGTCCCGGGACCTCCTGGTCAACCTGGCCCTGGCCAAGTGGGCCCTGTACTTGACCAGGAACAAGGCTCTACCTGGGAAGGTGCCCAAAGACTGTGGGGCCTCTTTCCTCTCACTTGTCTGTTCACATTTCTGGGCAGAGCAGCAGTGGGTGGCATTCACCGGCTCCTTGGATGCCTTTGAGGACCGGTGGGTGTGGCCCAGGGGGCTCAGCTTGATGTCCCCCTCCAGAGAACTTCTTTTCACATGTTGAACCTTTGACCCCATGTCACTCCTACCCTTTTCTTCCTTAGTTGTCCCACCAAATAAATAAATGAACAGTTGTGTCTTTCAAACTTTGGCCCCACACAGTGGGGGTTATTAATTAAATAGGTGGGCCTTAAAGCCCACGATCTCTGGAAGATACAAAGAGACAGGAGTCCTCGTGGCCTGCTGAAGGCAGAAGCAGTGCGGGGCCCAATCCTTTTTTTCAGTAGAGCCTGCCTGCCTCTCCAGCATGGTGGGGCTGACAGAATAATGGCTGCAACATTTCAAGTTGCAGCATTGCAAACAACCTACATTGGGATGTGGTTTAGTTTGTGATGATGCAAAATTATTTAAAACCCCCAAAACTCACGTATGTGTAAAGTGTGATGCCATTAAGCTACACAAAGGGAAATTTTCGTGATGTACATGGTTACATTGTCATGTGTACAAGTGCCTTTAGAAGCATAGAGAAGTAAGGCTGGAAGGGACCTTCCAGCTCACCAGGCTGCTAGTGACAAGTCATAGCTGTGCTAGTAGGGGGAATGTCAAA